TGTAGAAACCTGCATGGCCAAGAAAAGATCGCACCTCTCGCACGCAAGAGGGGTAAGGCAATTGTGCAATGACAGATATCTTTGCAGGGTCAACCTGAATGCCCCGACTAGAAATGATATGCCCTAAAACTATACCCTGCTCTACCATAAAATGACATTTCTCAAAATTAAGAACAAGGTTAGTCTCAATGCATCTATTCGCAGGAGGTGACTGCTATTCAAATTGTGTATCTTTACATCCAAACCGTGTCCTCAACTTATGCTTGTCATTCTTTGACTATCTGTATCATCTGTTTGTGCTGCTGTGAATTTTGGTTTTGCTACTTTAGATAGTACTTGACTGTTATATACTTATATATGCTCAAGTATGCTTGTTTAATTCCTAAAAAATTGACAATTTTAATATTTTGTCATCTACAGTTCACCCAATGGCCTGGATTGTGATGTAAGGTGTATTCAACTTATGACTTATTGTGCCTATTCCTTTAGTAGTTGTTTCATACAATAACGCAGTGCAAAGAAAGTAATGCTTCTTTTTTTGTTAAAGCAAACGATAAGTCTCTTGGAAAAGAGAGAAACATGACTTTTTGGGTTCCCCTATAATAATGGATTGACAATACTTAAATTTGTTTTTCAAGAATGATTTAGGAAAACAAATGACATGGATACACAGCAATTAGATTAAATGAGATGTGGGGCATTGGGCTGTATATTACTATCAAACTTTCTACAAAGAGGAATTTGAGGGGGGCGGGGGTGTTGGTACAAGGGAGTGAAATTTATGGTGGGAATTGGACACCCATATTTAATCTAATAAAATGATGTATCATGTATGCAATCAGAACACATCCAGGCTCTGCACATGCATTCTTTGAGCTTGAAAACAATTTTCTGAGAATTTGGATCCTGACTTCAGACAAGATATAGGGCTATATAGTTAAATTTAGTGAATGACTTGTGAGTGAACTAGTCAAGGAATGTTAAATTAAACTAAAGTTTAAATGTATATGTTAATCAGAAGGAATTTTTAAGAAGATGGATTAGACAAGAAAACAAAAAAGTGTTTCGAGCTCATAGAAAAATGAAATTTTTTATGAAAGGACAGATCCATTCTTCAATGTGATCCAAGTCAGAACAGTGTGGTATGGTGATGTTGACCTTGCCATGCCGTTCAACTTTTCAATTTGATATACTTTAGCATAGTAGTCAATACTTTAGCGTAGTAGTCAACAGTGCACTATAGAAGCACTATAGCAGTGTAGTTGAGTATAGTTGTCCTAGGCTTCTGTTGGATTCAAATTGTGGATTGGTTTTCATTAGTGGCCAAAATTTCCCCTGGAACTATATTGTTCAAATTTTTTTTTTAATTCTTTTGGGTAAAGTTGTCATTTCTTCCCCTTTTCTACTGCATTTTTTCCTTCATAAACATAATAGGATTTGGAACTCTTCTTCCTTGAACATTCCGCAAGATGTTACTCTACTTTGACCCTTGTTTCTTCGTACTTTACCAGACTATCTTTTACTTCTGTTCCACTCTTCTTCCTTAGGACACTTCCCAGTTCACATTCTGCTAATTTTTCTAATTTGCTGTGTTCTTTTTCTGTTATTTCACTGTCATTCAATTTTGACGTCTATACTGTGTTCTTATTGCTCCCAGATTAATGGTGATTAATTTATGTGTGTAAACTGTGGCTTATTTATCATGAATTTGATTAATTTTGTGCTCTTATTTTTTCTTTTTATTGACAAAAAAAGCTTAATCACTAGTTCTTGTTGTTCACCATACTGTTTTCCTGCACTATTTGAGCTTTTATACATTGATTATGTTATTCCTTTTCCCCTTGCTAAATAGAGATTACGAGGAACTCCTGGAATGACAATGGACTGGCAAGTTGCACCTGCAAGTCCTAGTTCATATACTGTCAAGAGGATTTTGCGCTTGGAAATTCCAGTTGATACATACCCCAATGTAAGCTCTTATATCAACTCCTATCTAGTAAGAGCTTGTTTGGAAAAACTTCTCCAGAAGCATTTCTAGGAAACAAAAATAGAAAAGAAAAAATAAATGAACTTTTTCATAAGCTACAATTAGCTTACGTATAGACTCATTTATAGAAGTTTTCTCCTATTATTTTTTTCTGAAGTCTTATTTATATTTTTAACGCATAAGCTAGTTTTAGCTTATTATTTCAATTTTTCTTCCTATTTTCTTCTCCTTGAGGTATTTCTTGAGAAGTTTATCCAAACAAGACATTAATTACTTGATCAGACCAGCTGTAATTTATCTTTTCTCTTTATGGCATAAGTTCAATTTTGTCGGAAGGCTTTTGGGACCCAGAGGCAATTCTCTGAAACGGGTAGAAGCTTCTACAGGTTGCCGGGTGTTTATTAGGGGAAAGGGTTCCATAAAAGATCCTGACAAGGTAATTAAGGCCATGATATGATTTTCCAGGTCTATTATGCAAAATGTGAAATAAATATGATGCTTCTTTTTGTTGATCTATGTATTATTCTTGTGTAACAACTGAAATTATTATCCTTTCCATGTTAAAGGAAGAAAAATTAAGAGGAAGACCAGGCTATGAGCATCTCAATGAGCCACTCCACATTTTGATTGAGGCTGATTTACCTGCTAATATTGTTGACATAAGGCTCCGCCAGGCTCAAGAAATTATAGAAGAATTGCTCAAACCTGTGGTAAGTTCCATCACACTATACCTTAATCTTCTCTTGTGTTATGCTGGGTGAGCTGGCCGCTATTCTGCTTAACGTTTATCCCAGGCCAGTATTAATGTGCATATAAAAGCTTTAAAATTCTCATGTATATGTAAAGAAGCAATTTATTTATATCAAGTTTAGTAACTTGAATATTTAATTACTTTGAAGTGAGGAACAACAGTTTCTAGACTAGATTTAAAGTGATTGGATAACAATTAATGGATTGAGGAAGCCACTCTTTGTTTGATCATCCAAGGTTTCCAATTCACATTTTACTCTCAAAAGTTTGCCATGAACTTCAAAGGAGTCAAAGTTGATTTATCAGCATTCAGATGGAGTCCATATTTTTTACCTTTTCCCTGAAATATTCTGTTGGAATCACTTCTAGCTAGCAGTGGAAAAGTATCTTTAAACATGATGCAATTTAAACCATTTTCTCAAGTTCTAGAATGTAGAACAATACCCTCCGTTACAACCATTTCTTGTTGGAAATCCGAAACACAAAAACCTCCATATGGTAATCGCTTTGTTGATTAATCTTAATGAAAATTTTCTATATATTTATTTTCTCTTGGTTGTGAACTTCTGATATGCAGGATGAGTCAGAGGACTATATTAAGAGGCAACAGTTGCGGGAATTGGCGATGCTGAATTCAAATTTCAGAGAAGAGAGTCCTGGACCAAGTGGAAGTGTATCTCCATTCAATTCCAGTGGAATGAAACGAGCAAAAACTGGTCGATGAAAGAAAGGTTTCCTTGTTGTAGATGGGTGTTAACGTTTTACAATACATCTCAATCAAAGCAGCTATGAAATAATAGGCTAACAATTATTGCTGGCTAGCATTCTGGTGGTTTTACATCCCCTTTATCCTACATTTTACTTCTAAAACAAAAGGAGTCAAAGCTAGAAAGATTTTTAGAAAAAAAAAATGATAAAAAAATTAATATAATTGGGTATTGAGAATAGGCGTGTTCAAATGAGTCTTTTTGTTGTACACTTCATACATTTATTATTGGATTTATTCTTGCGTACGTAACATGTGAGAAGCATGGAATATAGATGTTGTGATGGGTGAAGCTTTAGGTCTAAGTGGATCAAGTTTTGTGGGCATGTGACATGTCAAGTTCATTGGTATTCAAAGATTTACCGGTTAGCATAGGCGGAATTCTTTTTAGTTGTTTGTCTCAAGCATATGTATTCTATTCAGTGCGGTACAGTTGAACGATACCATGTATCGTTGATGGAAAAACTATGTTATATAGAATATAGTACATACTTATTTCTTGTGCGAATGTTTTAGATTCATGGCATGTCAAATGGGTGTATTCCTTTTGTTCGTTTTCTGATTTTTGTGGTGCAAAATGTCAGGTTCATTAAAGAGAGGTCTTGACTCCATAAGAAGCTGACGCAACATTAGATATTAATCCCATGAACAAAGGAATAAATAGCAAGTCGTAACTCCTTCAAAATATTTAACCTAATTGCCAAACCTTTTTCTTTGGGAGTTTAATAGAGTAATATATAAGGTCTATTTGAATGTTGTTGTTTTTCTCTCTGCTTATGAAAAGTTAAATACTTATTCTATTCATGATCACAATTATACACTGCATATATTTTGTAAGTTCTCTTACTTAAGTGCTGGATATTTTATGCTTCAAATAATGATCTTGCATGCTTCTTTATGTATCTTAGAACTCAATTAGCATAGTTCACTCTATTTATGTAATTGATATGCATATTCGAGTTGCAGTGAACTTAAAATAATCAGCATAATGGATTGTCTCAAATGTTGTAACTACAATAAGATATTTTGTCTCATCAATGTCATCTATTAATTTTTTCACATTTAATTTTCAGTTTTCACATTATTTTTTTTCACATTTTATACGGGTAAATGTATTTGAGTAAAAAAAAAAAACAAGGTATCTTATGAGATATTTGTTTCTCCATTGTTTAATTTTGACTTGTATTATTTTAAATTGTGGGAAGAAAAACCCTAACTTTACATGTTTTCATTTTACTAACTTTACATTGTATTATTTTCCTACCTTAATAGATTTTGTTTCAAATTGATTATACATTATTTACATGTTATGTAGGTTATGGATTTTGTGATTTTTCATTTTGCATTTTGTGGTTGATTTAGGCTAAATACATTGTCCATTTACGTGGTTAATTTTTGATGTATATGATTAGATCTTACAATGCAACTAAAAGATAAAACAAGAGGATAAGAGAGAACACAACTTTTGTGGAGGCATAAACTCGGTTGATTTTGGGTTTTTATTTCTCTGATATTCAAACTCGTCCACGAGTTCTTAAAAATGAAGTTAGTTGAATGTTTCCTAAATTTGACCGAAGTTCATATATGATTTAGGTATTAATTAATATATCACATTAAGTCATAGTATTAACTAATGACATTGCTAATCAAATGGAAAAAATGCATCATAATGCAAAACTTTTAAAACTTTGGGAAATGTGTTTACTTTCATAGTTTATTATATACATGAATAACTTTGAAATAAACAAACCAGACAATTCTCATGCAATATGGATAAACATGCTAATTATAAAAATAAAACCTAAGATTCTATTAAAAATAGTAATTTAGCACCAACCAAACCAGAAATTGACAATACTATAAACATAGTAGAGCATTGTTGTTGTTAACTCTGAATAAGTATATATTATAAATCAACTTTAGAAATGTATCAGACAAGGATGAATTTATTATAAAAGTACATTGAAATAATAAACTATATTAAGGAATACATATTCAAAAGTGTGAGAAACATCTTATATTAAAGTTTATACATATTAATCATTTTGAAAATTTTATGCTTAATGATTTTTTTTTTATAATGACTGATATTATTAGTCTAATGAGTATTTTTATACTTCAAGTTGTTCAAGGTTTAAATCCTGATTTTAGATATGGAATAAACTATGTTGGGAGGAAAATATTTACCTTGTGCGCATTCACAATTCCTGGCAGAGATTAGTTGATGCTTTTGGTGGTAAATACTTCATACTAATATTATGATCATAAAAAAAAGAGTACTTTTATACAAGTTTTATAAAATTGGTCGGAGACACATCTACTCATCGAAGACTAGGGGCAATTGCCCCCATTTATAAATATTATGCATACTTATAATTTTAATTGTTTTTATAATTTAAAATAGAGTAAAAGAATTAATTGATATTATAAATATTACTCCACTAATTTATTTTAGTTTTATTATTTTCATTCTCTTGATTATAATTTTTTGGGTAATCATGACACTGATACAAAGTATTCACCGTAAAAAATGATAACTAATCTAAGTCAGAGATCATGAATACACACAAATTGAATATTTTGCTTCCAACATAATCTATTTCGTATTTGAAGTTAGTGTTAGAAAAGAATGGCACAATCCAAGAGGGGGGCTGAATTGGATTCTATGACACTTTAAAAATTTTCAGAGTTCTTAGGATCTTTATTTCAATTCAAACTTTTCTAATGTGAATTTTCAGAGAAGTTCCTTAAAAGACTTGTTAATGAAAATGAATCCTATATGCTTTCTTGATTAATCTTTAATAAATTTCAAAGTTATGAGCAATCAATATGCAGCACTTTGATTCAGTTTAAAGCAATGTTGTGCATACAAATATGTTAATCAAGATTATTCTCTTTAACACACAACCTTGATATTACTCAAAGTAAAAAAGATAAGGATAAGAGAAGATTGCACAAGTCTTTTATCCTGGTTCAGCCACTCCACATGTGACCTACATCCAGTCCTCAATCATAACCTGATCAAGATTTGTTCCATTATCTTAATGAAGAAGATTTACAAGCATACCACACATGCATACACTCCTACATTCAAGATAACCACTTTCTTGACCACAAGAAAGCACCTCTTGTAGAAATCCACTACAAGAATTCCTTACCACTTGAGACACCTACTCAAGATTTACAATTATTCATAGAATTAAAGGAACGAATTCACCTGGAAGCTGAAAAAATCAGATAGTGAATTCAGAAGCAAATCTTAATCTTTCTCTTTCAAGAATGTGATGATGATGATGATATTTTCTCAAAGCATTTAAAAAACGTTTTACTTCTTGGTTTCACAAAGAAAACACTCCAAGAAGGTCACAAAGACTTCACAAAAATGTTTTTCTCTTTTTGATTCTCTGTTCTATCTTGTTCTGAAGTTTCAAAATGTGAAAACTATTTATAACATTTTCAGAACTAGATAATCGATTATTTTAAAGGATAGTTGATTATTTTTTTCTTCATTGTAGACACCCAATTTCGTCCGGGGGCATACAAACAACAAGATAGGACATCAGAGGGCCCAAAAGCACAAATCATCTATTTTTAGTGGCCCGGAACGGGCCGTTCCAAAATCGGAACGGGTCGTTCCCAAGTCCGGAACGGCCCGTTCTCGAATTGGAACAGGCTGTTCCGAGGCTTCTAAAAGGCCTAAAAATTGTAGGTTGGAACGGGCCGTTCTCCGTTTCAAACCAATCAAATGGCCTAAAATTTGTACCCCAGAACGGGCTGTGCTGAAATCAGAACGGGACGTTCTGGTTCCCCGGAACTGGCCATTCTAATTTCAGAACGGGCCATTCTAGGGTACAAAATAATACATAACGTTCGAATTCGGAACGGGCCATTCCGAATCCAGAACGGGCCGTTCCGGCCCACATCTAATGCCTATAAATAGAAATCTCGGTCACAGTTCTAGGGACTCCAAAATTTCGTCCAGATTCCTTAGAGCTCAGAATTTCTCTCTTTTTCTCTCTCCCTCTCTCTTTTGTATTTCTTGAGATTTTGTGAGACATTGTAGTGTGAAAGGTTGCCACAAAGCACCTAAAATCTTCCTGTTTTGAAGATTCAATAGAGCTCATTCAAGAGGTATTTCATTAATCTCTTTCTCTCTTTTTTTTATTTTATTTCTTATCTATAATTAATATTGTTATAACAAAAATAATCATGTAGACATTTTAGGATTAATTGTATAATTTAAATTTCAAGCATGTAAATAATTATTAATAAAAGGGGATTTAATATTTATATGATTATCATTTATAATGCTAACTTCATCATAGGGTACCAATTAAGGGCGTTGTAGGGGTGCTGAATACCTTCCTTACATGTAACCGACCCCCAAACCCAATTCTGGTTATCAAGGCCATTATTGGATTTTTAAAAACTTTTTCTTTTTCCAATGTTTTACTTAAAACATTGGTGGCGACTCCATGAACTCATTTTTCAAAACCATTAATTAAGGATTAGTCTGGTGTCCGGGCATTCCTTAATTGATGAGATCTTCAAAAGGATGTCTAAACCATTAGTCGCGAGATAGGAAATTTTCGGGTTGCGACATTCATGATTTCTGGAAATCAACCAAGAATAGATTAATCGATTATTTTTCAGGATAATCGATTATTCCAGAGAGTGATTCCTGGGATAATCAATTATTTCACAAATAATCAATTATTACAACAAGGCATCCTTTTTACCTGTTGTTGGAATAATCGATTATATTTAATAATTGATTATTTTGAGTCAGTTTTCAAAAACTCTGTTTTATGTCTCAAAATAACGTTTCAAGTTTCTAACTCATCATCATACTCACTCTTAGTTAGATTATATAAAGATTAACCCATGCACAAAGCACACACACGCAAAATAAGCTCAACAAAACAATACAACTTATGAGCTACTCCTATTACACAACATAATAGCCATATTTTCTTCTTGACTTTGTTTTTGACTTGTTGATGTCCTTGGTCAGCTTTGATTCTCAAAATCCATACTTTGTTATCATCAAAACCTTCATTCTCCAAGTTTGAGTTGATTCACCACTCCATGAATCTCAATAATCTCCCCCTATGATGCCAAACCATAAAGCCATTTTGTTTTGCAAACCAATATTTTCACATTTTAAGTCTTGCAAAACAAGCTCAAAAACCTTTCTCCCCCTTTGGACATCATAAAAAACAAACCAATATATATAAATGTCCATATTGCACATGTATGATCTTATCCACAAGACTCATTTGCTCATAATCAATACCAAGCAATATCATCATAGGCATTGTTCCAGTCAATTCAAATTAATACCAAGATTTTTATCAGGGAATTTTCCATATTCATCAAGCTATCTTTAATCACAATATCTCAACCATATGATTCATCAGCAAAACATCAGAAAACATCACAAATATGTTGTACATTTCAATGTTCAAAACATAATATAACATTATCAAATATACCAGTAAACATCAA